ATAAAGTGGTGTCTCCTGATCATGGCCCTGGTCAGTCTAAGAATTTCCATATGAGTCACTTAAGTTTATCACACGGCATTTGCAAGAACAGGAACGGAACAGCACAGAACGGGGTGAGAACACAAGTTACCGCACAGAAGAACGTCGCCGATGCTGCTGGGCATTCCTAAGCCGTTCTCCAACCATTCCTGGCAGCCGATTTTGAAGAACGGTTCATAGAATCATAGAATTGGAAGAGACCACAAGGGCCATCCAGTCCAACCCTCTACTGTGCAGGAACTCAAAATCAAAGCATAAAAATTGTTCTTCAAAATCGGCTGCCAGAGCACAGATATAGAACGGCTTGGGGATTCCTAGTGGCATCGGTGACATTCTCCTGTGCGGTAACTTGTGTTCTCACCCCGTTCCGTGCCGTTCTGTTCCATTCAGTTCCCGTTCCTGCAGATGCCGTGAGCTATCTGGCTTCCAATAATTTATCCCTGGGAGCTGGTGGCTTACATGTTGGTGGGGTGGTGAATCTGCTCCGGGTTTTAATCTGAACATGAAGAAGCCTATGCAAGAGGCTGTAACTAACCTCAAAATGCGTTCAGCGGTTTGGATGGCTTTTTTAAAGATTCGGACTAAAGACTGAGAGCAAATTTATTGTCCCACTGACAGGGAAGCTCCCAGCCACTAATGATTAGCATTGCTATATATGCTTGTTCATATTTCTGTATTATCCTTTCCGCAAAGAGCTCAGGGGAATATGCAAGGTCTTACTTGGTCTTCCTTTTATCCTTTTCACAACAGTTTGAGGTCCATTCAGTGTTCAAAAGGAACATATCAGAGTAGGCAGTTGGGCTATAGGGAATGGATTGAAATCTCATCTTCCTAGAGTAGATTAAAGAATGTAAGAGCCAATGAGAGGGACCTTTACTTAGCTGTTGGACAGACAAATTGCAAATGGAGCTCAGAGATAGTGAACCTGTGGCCATCTGGAAGTTTCTGGACTACAACTTCCCATCCATCCTAGCCAGCATAACTAGAGAGTTGTAGTACCGCTACACCCAGAGGCTACAAGTTCCCCACCCTGGTCAGGAATCTCCAAGAAACTTTGCCATCTCCATCTCTCTTGCTGTTTTCCTCTCTTACCAGAATATGGAGGTTATTGTTTTGCTTATTCATACATCTGTACTATGCTTTCCCCAAAGAGCTCATGGGAATATGCAAGCCCTCCCTTGCTCTGCAAAACATGGTTGCAATGCACACATGCAGTCAGCCCTCCATATTTATGGATTTTTTTAAATCCACAGATTAAAATGGCTTAAAATATTTTTTAAAATATATAAATTTCAAAAAGCAAAGCTTGATTTTGCCATTTTATTTTTTAATTTTTTAATTAATTTTATTTATTTTTTTTAAAAAAAGCACATATAGATAAAATGACAAACATGACATTAATACGTAACAAATTTACATACAATTTTGCCATTTTATATAAGGGACACCATTTTACTATGCCATTTTATTTAATGGGACTTGAGCCTCCAAAGATTTTGGCATCCATGGGCAGATGGGTGTCCTAAAACCAAACCGCAGTGGATACCAATATCCCACTATATTCCAGAGCTGTCCCATTTTCATTAGCCCATGGCACTCATTGCCTATGTTCAGATATCATGGTAGCAGTCCAAGATTTCCTTGATTTGTCCATTTATTAAGTCTGAGACTGTCCTGTCCAAAAAAGTCTATGAGTGAATAAGAAACATGTTTAAAAAGCAAAACAGACCAGACAGAAAGGAGTCATGTAGTCAATCATTCATTTCTACTCCAAGATTAGAATTCAGATCATTGAAACTCTAAGTAGCAACATTCACCCTCGGATTGTGCCTTGGGTCTCTCCTCTGTGTATTGAACAAGCTTCTGTTCCATACAAGATGATCAGACATTTAATAGCTTGTGTGGGTGAAGTATAGAGCATGCCACTACAGATTTCTGCACTAAGCTTAGAATTCAGATCATTGAAACTCCAGCAATATTCACCCTCAGACTGTCCCTTGGACCTAACCTTTATGTATTGAACATGCACAGTCAGACCAGCCTCTGAGTCTTCACAGAGAGGGATTCTTCATGTATGTTATGCCTATATCCCATCTTTCCTCCAGGGAGCCGACTTGGCTCTCCCCTTCCTCTTCTTTATTCCTACAACAACGCTGTGAGGTAGGTCATGCAAAGATGAACAGAGAACATCTAGGTTAAGGGCTTATCAGATATTTTCGGGGGCAGAGCTGCTACAGATTCAAAATTCTCCTGCATCATCTTGTTTTTAAAAAATGCGTAACATGGTGATATCATTGCATCCGACATTTTCTTGCTCATCCCCGTGCTCCACTTCATTGCTGCCACTGTCGAAGGGGTGCGGAAATGCTGAACTTAACAATATGTTCCATCATGCATGTGTTTTAGAAACATCTCAATTACTCTCTTTTTTTAAAGCATAGACCAGACTGAAAAGAAAATGGAATGGCCCCAACCAGCAGAGGGTTTTTAGTGATGATGACCTGGTTTTATTAGGAAGAAGTGTGTCTTATGCCTGGATTGGTGCCAGCAACTTTCCACTCCATAATGTTTTAGGTCTTTAATGATGAATTCTTTTTTTATTTCCAAACTTGGGGAGGAGAAGTCCTTTTCAACTGGTCTGATAAGGTTCTGATGTGTGTTTGCTGCCATATATCCATACCCAAATTGAGTCACTGCTATTCCAGCCAGCCAAATTTTGCCACAGGTCTGAGAAATGGAAGAAGGTAGTCTTTTATCTTGCCCTGAATGCCTGTTTTCACATTGCTTCTTGCAGCGAGCTCCCTGGTTGTATTTTTTCCCCTTGTCACTATCCTCCACCACAAATGTCACATTGCAGATTGGTAGAACACCTTGCTTTTAAGCTGGAGTGTCAGCTTGGCCCAGTATACTGCCTCGACTTTTCTTACTCTCTTTATTATTATCAATGCAGGGATGGGGAAAGGGCAGCACAGGATGCCTTCAAAGGATGAGCTGGTGCAGCGGTATAACCGAATGAACACCATCCCCCAGGTAACGCTATGTGTTTTTAATTGTTGTGCTTTAATATTAGTACTATTTAATTTAAAACACTTGTAATCAATGTGTTAGTTAAAATGATTGTAAGCTGCCTTGAATGCCTTTTTGGGAGAAAGGCAGGATATCAATCCAATAAATAGCAGTGTGGACAGTACTAAGTTAGATGGATCAATGATTTGATTTGGTGTAGGCCAGTTTACCATTTTGCTGTGTGCCTCACACATCCACTCAGTCAGAAATTCAGGGAAATAACACTTGTAAGAAGCAGTTGGTTGGTAAATTGTTTTGTGTGTTCTGGTTGACTATGGAAGATCTGGAACAATTATGTCAATCCACTGCTCTTCCTTCTAAGGAGCAATGAGACCAGGGCATGGTTTACCTTGCACTCTGCTTTTTCTGCACTGTCTAGAGTTTCCTAATTGGCTGGTCCTGTCTATTCCAAATGATGCTCCTGTTATAGATCCAGATGATGGTGCAGTATCCCAGCTTTCCTCAACCTTTAACTTGCTGGATATGTTGGACTGCAACTCTCACCATCCCCAGACAGCTCCCTAGAGAAGTTGGGAATTGTAGTGCTTGGATTGGCTGCCATGGATTGGCTGCCAGATTGAGAAACTCACAGAAAGAGAATATAATTTGAACTCACAGAAAGAGAATATAATTTCTGTTTTTCTGATTTGCTTGCAGACACGATCAATCCAATCCAGGTTCTTGCAGAGTCGAAATTTGAATTGCATCGCACTTTGTGAAGGTGAGTGACAGAGGGAAGCATGGATCTCTTCCCCTTACAACCGCCGCTCATTTCTGAAGTTTTTGCCATAGGTCTCTTCTGTCAGACTCCACTTCAGTCCAGGTTTGGCTACTATATTAATGCAAATGCTACTTTTAAGAAAAGTGTTTTGAGGAAGGTATAGAAATATAATGCAGGTCTTGCCTGATCAAAGCAAATGTATAGTTAGTTCAGTAGTTCACTTCCAACTGAGGACAGCTGGATGCTTCAAAGAAAATTGAAATTAGGAGAAAACGGAAACCTCTGTGATTTGCTCCCAAAGTCTGAGATTCAGAAATATACTTCATGGAATTTGGGAGTTTCATAAATCAAGGATGGCGAATGGCCTTTGAGAAGGCAAAGCATCCTGGTCTAACGGGGTTTCTGGGTGACTGAGGTCAAATTCCCAACTCTTTGAGTTGCATCGTTTGACTTTCTTTTGTGAGATGTGTTCTTTGGAGGATTTTTCTCTCCCATAGACAGTGCAGGGTCCCATCACTTGGGTCTCTGATTCCAAAAATATCAAGCCAGCCTTCTGCACTGCTGACTGACCCTTCCTTCATTTGCAGTGATCACATCAAAGGATCTCCAGAAGCATGGCAACATCTGGGTTTGCCCTGTATCGGACCACGTCTGCACCCGCTTTTTCTTTGTGTGAGTAACTGGATGTCTTGGATGAGGAAGTGATGCTATTCTATTTGTGGATGGGCAGTGTCTGTATCATGGACAGCACCTTTCTTGAAAGGTTTACCGGGGGGGGGGGGGGGGGGGGGGGGGGGGGGGGGGAAGGCAATTTGAATTTTAGAAGAACTGTGCTGGATGAGATTAAAAGCCTATCTTGTCCTTCATTCTGTTTGTACAGCAACCAGCTACATGTACTGGCAATGGGAACAAGCAGGGCATGAATACAAGAGCTCCCTCATGCTAATGCTTCCTAGCCACAGCCACCCCATGACATTTTGTTTCTTGTGCAAAATAAGATGACATTCCCTTCCTATTCTGCATAAAGGACCAGGCTTGGCTGGCAGTTGAATCTTAGCATTGCCAATGACATAATGCCCTCCACCTCACATGATGCAGTAGATTAGTCAAGGGGGCACAAGCCAGGCTGTGTGATATACCCAGGCCTATCACGCAACAGAAAGAAATATCAGGAGTCAGTGTGGCATAGTGGTTTGAGCGCTGGACTACAACTCGGGATAACAGGGTTTGATTCCCAGCTCAGCTATGAAACCCACTGGGTGACCTTGGGCAAGCCATATGCTCTCAGCCTCAGGGGAAGGCAATGGCAAACTTCCTCTGAGCAAATCTTGCCAAGAAAACCCCTTAGGGTTGCCAGAAATAAGTTGGAAATGACTTGAAGGTGCACAATACACACATACACATCCATACACCAGGAAAAACAACCAGAAAGCAACCACTACTATGCTGTAGCATCTGCCCAGTGAGCAACTCACTCTCCCTCATGCCAGGCAGGCTTTTGGCAAATGACTGGATGCTGAGATGAGGACTTTTTACATTAATAATAATAATAATAATAATAATAATAATAATAATAATAATAATAATTTATATTCCGCCTCTCTGTAAAATACAACTGAGGCAAAAACAATTTTCCATAGAACCATGTGAAGTACTTTTCAAAACAGATGTGCTTTTAAAATGACTTTCAATTCAGTTTTGTGTTTGTGTTTTCATATTAGAACAGGTTGTGTTTTTTATATATTTTTTGTCATGAGTCACCTTGAGTCCTAGTTTTGGGAGAAAAGGTGGGATACAAATCAAATCTGTCACCATCCATCCATCCATCCAGTATCTGATGCTTGCAGAACGTATTGCCATCGTGCCTCATAGCCTCATCCTCCAGGAATCTAAAATGGCTTCTCTCTTCCTCCCAGGTATGAAGATGGCCAAGTTGGAGATGCCAACATCAATACTCAGGACCCCAAAATCCAGAAGGAGATCATGCGTGTGATTGGCACTCAGGTCTATACAAACTGAAGGGGTGGAGGATGCCCCTTATTGCAACATGTGCCAGCACTGTCCCTGTCCCCTACCCTGGGCAGAAAGGAGCCAGGTGTTGGAGGCTACATACAAAGCAATGATAACGCTGGCTGGATGAAGACCAAGACCCATGGCGGGTGGGGAGCAAAGGGCAACCAGCATCACTTCTGAGCGGCAGAGGTCTGTGGGAGTAACTCCAGAGGGCTGGCAGAAGCTCCTGCTGGCTTGTATGTAGAATATATTAAGAGACGCTCCAAGGGGGTGGACTTGGACCATTTTCCAGTGAACAGTTGGGATGGCTGACTTTGCACTCCTGCGTTTACAGCGATGAAATTTTTAACAACAAAAACAAGCAAAAAACAAAAAAGGGAAAAAATTCACAAAAGTGAGAGGGTGTGAGCAAATGGTTTTAGCTTATTAAAATTCTGTTAAAAAAAAGCTCATGTGCATCTGCACAGACTTGTTTGTGTGTATGTGTTTATGTGTGCATACATTGCATGCACATACAAGGCCAATGTTGTATCTTTCATGTTGCTGGGCAGGGCCACTGTCATTCTGTCTCCTTTCTCCTGGAATGAGTACTTTTGTTGACATCTCAGTCATATGTCGGAAAAATGTTTTTAAAAGCACCACTGGGCTGGCCCTGCCATTTGGCAAGGTGAGCCATCTGTCTCAGCAAACAGATTTTAGACAGAGTTGGAAAAAGTTATTTGCTGGAAAATAGTTCCTAGAAACCCAAGTCCAAAATGTAACTTTTCCATGCTCTGCTTTTAGGTATTATGAAAAGGAAGTGAAATGTTGGTCATTTAATTTGCTATTACTTTATTAGTACTGCTGGGAGGCAGGGGGATGACTTCTGGAAATTTCTGTCTGGTGTGCAACTATGATTTGGCTAGCTGTGGACACTAGATATCGGGAGTAGGGAACTGTTGAGGATTAGTTGTACGTTCCACAAAAAGTACTTATTTTTTGCCCCTAAATGTCCTCTAGGTGATATGGGAGTCATTTCCCCCAGATTTTTGCTCCCCTCCCAGCTGTTTTAGGCCCCAAAGAAGGCGTTTTTAAATATTAATTTTATTTATATATTCAGATATACATCTAAAATAAAATTCAAACTTTATACAAACATAAAGAAAATTAGTCAGCTCATTATCTAAGTGCTATATATCAACTACTACTTCCAATAGTTCCTTTGACGGTAAGTACCTGTTATATGTACTCGTAATTCTAAGTCTTTCTATATCTCTGGAATTTATTTATCAGCCCTTGCTCTTGAAATAATTAATCAATCCTAAACACCCTTCATTATTTACAAATTTTATATATCTTTTTATATTTCTCCAGTCTCTGTATAACAGTTCGAGTCATAATCTTATCTCTAAATTTTCCATAGTGAATTTGCTGCTTCAACACCACCTTGCATTTACATATTCTTCAATTGGAGTCCACTCTTTATCCAATCTATCTAAATCTTTATTATTTACTAAAGCAGTTAATCTATCCATATCTTTTTTTTTTAACAATAGGAAGTGACCTGAAAGTTCACTTCTTATTTTTAAAAAAGTCCTCTTCTTGGGGCTAAAATGGCCCAAGGACTCCCAAAAACACGGTGAAATTGCACCCCAAGCGCGGAGAGCATTTGCGGGCAAAAAGTTTGAATCCTGGAAGCCACAAAAACAACTCTGGGGGCCACATGTGGGCTGTAGGCTTTACTTCGCCCGTGTCTGGTACACCTTGACTTGAAGAGATGGGATGCTCTGTCTCAGGCAATAAAATGTCTTACGCCTGCCCTGAAATGGCAGGTGGCACTTTGGCTGCAGTATTGGCTCATTCTCTGCTGCTTGCAGCTGTGCCCTGTTTGAAGATGGAGTGACACTGCAGAAGACCTGCCTGGATTTTTTTTTTTTTGGGTGGTGGTGGGGAATAAGCTCCCATCATCATGGAGATATCTGCTTAATGTGCAAGATGTAGACACAACAGCTCTCAAAGGTTCTTCTGCCAATAGTTCCTTAACTGTATGGTACCTGAAAATTGCTAACAGTAAGGTGGGAAATGCTACTGGCACCATTGTGAGAGTTAATAGACAAGCTCTGCAAAGAAAACCAGCCTGCTTGGGGGGGGGGGGAAAGCAATTTTCTAAATAGGATGAATTTGCTTCCATTGTGTTTGGAAAAGACAGTAATAATCTGTCAGGTACAAAGTATGGGGAAACTACAGACTGTTTCTCTTAGGATCCCCTCCAACCAGCATGCTCACTGGAGTGATTCTGGGAGTGTGCCCAAATCTCCAACACATATCTGCCCAAAGTCTGGAAGGTTTGTATTTAGGGGTTGTGGGTTTTGATTGCTGGACCTGAACTTCTACCTCTGAATCATCAAAGGAGAGGCCATGCATTATTCAATGGCAGATGACATGTCCCTGGATTAATCTCTCGCATCTCCAGGTTGAGTTTGGCAGAGATCTGTGTCTGGAATCTGGGACAGCCATCACCAGTTTGTGCTGCATGATGGTAATGGAGGCCATTGTCTGCTGCAATAAATCCTTTAAAAAACCTCCAACAGAAAGTTGTGTCCAAGCCCAATTGCTGTGTAAAGATGGAGATTTTAGCTGGCTTATGTGTGCTGCAAGTGGAAGCAAAATGGATTAACCCTTTCCTATTTATGAACGTTATTACATGTGGGCCAGAAAGCGATAATAAAGTGGAAATGAGGC